GAGGGCGAGCGAGCGGCGAGCGAGCGGGGCTCGGAAGTTCCTCGGCGAGGCCCGAGGCGGCTCCACTTAAAGGCGTTTTTTCTGGTCTTCCCGACTCCCGCTTTACCCCTGCCTCCCCCCGATGTCCAAACTACAGGAGTCAACTTCTCCGTTGAAAAAAACACCCCCGGCGTGAGAGGCCATCCTGGTGATGCTAACAGTGCCTTCCAGCGGCCTGTGTTTCACTCTGGATATAGCTGATTCAAGATGTGGCTCACGGTGTGCCCTCTTCCAGGCCAAGGATACCCCTTATTTCAGCTTGTCCACAAATCTCTTTACCCCCTCCTGAGAGGAGACCACCAGCTGCATTCTTACATATAAAGTCCAAAGGGTTATACAAAGCTGTCATCCTCTAGTCTACAGTATCCTTTCCCTCCACCTGCTGGTGGTGGTAGTGGGGGATGGGGTGGGCTAGGGAATGGCACCATCACGTTTTATTATTTAAAAAGGAAAAAAAAAAACTTCATTGTCTTAGATACAGCTGCTTCCGAGGTTCTCAGTCTACAGAAGGTGTGTGTGTGCGCGCACACCCCCCACTGAGATTTCTGATAGACTTCTTTCCTTCAGCTTTAAGAATTTAGGTAAATAGGTGTCTTTTTTTTTTTTCCTACTTCATTCTGCATCGTAATCAAGAGTTTAGCTCTTAACAGAAAGTGGTCAAGTAGTGTTTTTTTAATGTTGTCCCTCTGTACATTTTTATAATGAAATCTTAAAATTATCATGGCCTGTTTCTGAACTTGAGCATTTGCTTAAGATATTTTGGGAGCTTTTCACAAAGCTATTCAATTTCTAAGATAGTTTGTGTTGTTTCAGTGGGTTCCATAGTTTGAGGGACTATTAAGTGTACGGAGATGTGGCTGTAAATTCTGTGATTGTTTTAAGGTTGACATGAGAGATTATTCTTGTGATCCCTTAAAATTTAACTTATTTATTGAGATAATTCTTGGACTAGAAAAAAGTCAGCTTTTTAAATGTACAGTTTATGATTTTTATTAAGTTTATCCAATTTTGCAACAATGTGATGAAATTTTTTTTTCTAATATGGATATTTACTTAGAATGAGAATGAATCACAAATTATGAAACTTAAAAACTAGTAAATACCACAAAGTGACAAAATCCAAAAACATAGCTATTAGATGCTTGACAAATCCTTGTAATCCTTTTTTGCCTTTACATTTTTGGCTTCGTTTTTCCAACACCTTCAGTGAGATGTAATTCACATGTCATACAATTCACCCATGTTTTTGTGTATTCACATAGTTTGCACTCATCACCACAGTCAATCTGAGAACATGTTCAGCACCCCAAAAAGAAACTGGTACTCATTAACAGTCACTCTCCATTTCCCAACCACCGTAACCCCAGACAACTACTTTCTACCTGTTTAGATTTACCTATTCTGGACATTTCATACAAATGGAATTACACATTTTGTGATATTTTGCAACTGGTTTCTTTCTCAGGTAGTATAATATTTTCAAGGTTTATTCATGTTGTAACAAGAATGTAACAGTGCTTATTCCTTATGGCTGGATGATAGTCCAGCATATGCGTGTACTACATTTTGTTTATCCATACATCGGTTAATGGACATTTACATTGTTTCCGCTTTCTAGCTGTAATATATAATACGTCCTGAACATTCATGTACCCATTTATTTGTGGACGTATGCTTTTATTTCCCTTGGTTATGTACCTAGGAATTGAATTGCTGGGTCATATGAAAACTTTATGTTTAACCTTTCGTGGAATTACCAGACTATTTTCTGAAGTTATCCTTGTTTTTTAAATTGATGTTTCACCTTACTGCATATCTCTTACCACTCTAGTCAAAATCAGATTAAGTGCTTAGTCTGTATTAGAAGAATATTATGGTATGTGACTTTTTTAAAAGTAGCTGTAAATAGATATTAGGCAGATTGTTTTGAGAAGTTCATGGTGCCTTATGGACATCCTCTGGCAACTTTGATATCCCCCTGTATGTACATTAGGAATAGGAATGTTTTTACTTTTCTACCTAAATGATATGACTCTAATGGAAAGTCATAGTTTCTTTTCACTGTGCCTTACTCAAAGCCACATATATTTGTAATGAAATAGAACATCTTTTATTATCCTTAGAGAGTGCTGTAGTTGTCTTATTTTGTGTGTTTGTTAACTACATATATGCCTCAAAACACATCCATTTTATCCCCCTCCATAGTGGTTGCTAACATTGTGTTACATACATAATGTCTGTAGACTACAAAAAATTCTAAGAAAATAATTTTTTGGTGGGTTTCATGATGACATCTGTTTCATTGGGAGGTTTTTGGAAAGAAATATGGACCAGTGCTGTTGGATGAATTTAACTTAATTCAGTATATCCAGAATACCATTACAACATCTAATTCATGTTTAAAATAATACGATATTTTGGATTATTCCTTTCATGCACCTTTTTAAAACCCAGTTTGTATTTTACAATTGTCTCCATTTGGACAAGCTGCTTTTCAAGTACTTTTCAAGCCATATGTGGCTAGTGACCACCCTACTAGACAGCAAATATATAGAGAATAGCATATAGAATGAGGTAATTGAAGCATTTTTTTTGGTTTGACCCATTTGTTTTTCTAGAAATGATGAAGAGTACAAAGTCCTAGAGTTTAGTTTAATCTGATCTCTAACTTTGTGTGTGACCTTGGGGAAAATCACTTAGTCTTGTGGTTCTTTCATCTGTAAAACTAGAGGTACTTGACATCTGCTTCATGAGTGTTGTGAAGATTAATAGGTTAATGTTAGGAAGATGCCTGGCAATTCTCTGAGCATTTTATCACCTTCAGCCTTTCTGTTTAGGAGGAGGGAGGGGATTTAATAGGATTCAGTGCAATTGATTGTCTTACTCCCTCATTTGCAGTTGGATGTATAACTTAAGTTGCATTGAACAATTAATAGGGAAAGTTTTTAACACAGAGACATAATTACTCATTGAAAGGCAATTTGGGCACAAGTAATCAATCATCCTTCTAAAGTTGTAATTTCTAAGTGTTAGAGTTGAAACTGATTTCAATGTGAAATAGATTTCAATCTGATATTCATTCTTACCTTTTTGGCTCCTCCAAAAAAATGTGGTCATGCTAACATTCTTGAATGACAAAAGCATCAAAGAGGGCATATGTGAGTGTATCCATTTTAAGTAATTTTCAGGAACTGTCAGGTAGTAGCCACCAAGGTTTGGCATTTTTTGAGAATAGTAACCATAGAGAAGAGATATATAGTGCAACACAGGAAGTGACCAAGTAGTAGTCAAACTTCTTGAGTAGTGGTCAAACTTTATTTGAAGTACTGACCAAACTTGAAATAAAAAATTTGTCAGTATAAAGCAAATTAAGCTAATCTAAGTTATGTTTTTTGTTTTTTTTTTTTAAATAGAGGGGAATTTTCTTGTAGATGTTCCAAAAAACTTACGTAATTTTTATGGAAGTTTTGAAAGTGTCCAGGTTCAAGTAGAGAAGTTAGCAAAATGATCAGATCATATAAAAACAAAACTTTTAAGAAAACAGCTTACCTTAAGTATAAAAGAATAGTAAAAAAAAAATCTATGTAATTAGAAACTTGTGATTGTTTACATATCTTAAAATATGAAGTCAGTTTGAATTTTATTTTTTAAAAAGGGTAATCTGTTGGCAAGAGTTGAATAAATTGATCAGCTGTTTTGTTGTTTTGAAATATCCTTGGTGATTTATTGAAGTGTACAGAGTGAAAAGCATTGTTAAGCCATTAAGTCTTGATAACTTTTAGAGACTGACCTCTCTCATCACAAATCTTGGAACATATTTACTATACTTAAAATAACTACTGTCTAATTTTTCATATAATAGTCCAAGCATGTGACAATATGAAATATCAGTACAAAAAAGGTTAGGAATTAAATGATTATTTTTATGATTTCTGCTAGCTTTCCTGGTTTATAAGACAACCAGTTTCAGAATTGCTTCACTGATAATTTTCTTGGAGATATCAAAATATTTTTGTTTTTCATAGTCACTAGTATGTCAGATGAATGTGGAAGATTGAGAAGAATTGCAGGAGTGACAGGTTTAAAAGAATGAAACTACTTTAGAGAAAATGCATAGATAGTTTTAAAATATTGATCTCTGATAGTTGTGGGTCCTTAAAGTATTTTTAAATGTTTTCTGGAGCATCATTCATCTATTTGAGGCCTATAATGATAAAATGAGAACATGTCATCAAATTTAATCTTGATTGCTGATTTGGGTACTCATTTAGTTTTGAAACAGAGGAGAGGAGTATGATTGAAGGGAACTTTTTGGCACCTACTGTATACGCTTTTAACTGTATTATCATTTCTCTCATCTTTTAAATAGGAAATATTGAGTTCATTGTAAGGAAGAAGAAACTCTTGTTTTTTTGACTTATAGGATAATATTCAAGGGAACAATTTTAACTCAGGTGTGTCAAAGTAAAGTCTATACTTCTTGTGCTATACCATATTATATCCCTTTGACTTCTCTCAGCTTTAATGCAGGTCTCAAATTTGATTTAAAAGTTTCATGTAAAAGCATCTCACATAGTCTACAAGGGTAAAATAGGTATTCAGTAAGTATTTTCTTTTTATCCCAGAAAGGTTTTTGAAAATTGTATACCATTTGTGGACTTTAAGCACTGCAGAATACAATCCATTGTCTGTGCTTTCCGTTTAGGTTTGGTGAAAGGCAAAGGTTGGGGAAGACTCCCTTTTTCTGTGGTTAATATGAGAATAACTTTTATAGTGACACCTACAAAATAAAGGCAATATTATACACTCTAATAATGGCTTTGGTTTCCATGTTTTAAAAGGTTTGGGGCCGAAGACCTGTTTACACTGTTAGAAGTTAAGGACCCTGGCCAGGTACGGTGGCTTATGCCCATAATCCCAGCACTTTGGGAGGCCGAGTTGAGAGGATAGCCTGAGCCCCTGGGTTCGAGACCAGCCTGGGCAATTTGGGGAGCCCTCTTCTCTACAATAAATCAAAAAATTAGCCTGGCATGGTGGTGCGTGCCTGTAGTTCCTGCTACTTGAAAGGCTGAGGCGGAAGGATCACCTGAGCCCAGCAGGTCAAGGCTGTGGTGGCCATGAGCGTGCCACTGCACTCCAGTCTGGGCGACAGAGTGAGATACCTATTCAAAAAAAAAAAAAAAGTTAAGGGCCCTTATAGAGGTTTTTTTTGTGTCAATACTTTTTTTTAATAGAACTATTTTCCTGTCAATACTTACTATTTTCTAAATTAAAAATAATTTTAAAAATATTTTTCATATAGAATTAAAAGTATTTTATATAAATATAAAATTTTTAATAAAAAGTAGTTTATTTTTCAAAAGCAAAAATATTTAGTGAGAAGAGTGGCCATGTTTAACGTTTTTTCACGTCTCTTTAATGTTTGACTTAAGACAGCTGAATTCTAATATCTACTTCTGAATTCACTCTTTGTGATGTACTGTTTTGGTCAAAGTATATGACACACAGGCTGTTGAAAACTGGAAATGTGCTTTCATGGCCTTTTCAGGATAATTATGGAGATTATTCTTTGATACTGCATCATAACTTCATAAATGATGGTTCTTTTACTTTAAAGATTTGGGGTGCAATTCAGGATTAGGTGTACAAGTGGACTTCATGCAGGTAAAGTTTGGGCCTCCCTTTTACCCCCACTTTGCCTGGTTTGAGATCAGGTAAATGATGGTTTAGTAACGATTAGTTGCAGTGTAGAACCTGAAGACACATCAGTGAACTTTTCTTACACTGCTACATTAAAATCTATTGGTCTGTCTTGCACTTTGAATGTATCTTTCATCTATCTTTTATCCATGCCTGATTCTATAACATGTATTGGGTCATTTGGAAAACATTATGTTGCTGAGTTATGCAGATCTTCCAAATGCTGACACATTTTATTATACAATGAAAAAAGTTCATTGTTAACACATAGTTCAGAAAAATCTCAAGTATTGGGAATCTGTCAGGCTCTCAGTGGTGGATACAAGTTTTCTGAAATTCTAATTTTCACTTGAAGCTCAAATTTTATCATTAGTAAATTGTTTTCCTTGAAGTCTTAGACTCACTTTGCTCATTTTTGTGAAAACATCTGCCAGGCACTAAGTCTGAATAACCATAATTTGTCCGTCAGTTGTTCTTTCAAGTAAAAATGGTGTTCCATGAAAAAAAGTGACTAGTTCAATTTGCAACTCAAGTGTACAAGTACTTTTTCCTTGAGAACAGTCATCCTACTGTAGAAGTTGGTGTGCTACACAAGTGGTTTATATGTGATTCTTGTTTTGTCACACAACTAGAAAAGGCCAATATTTAATTAAAGTAATCATTTTTTACTGTTTTGTCACAGACCTTAAGTGAGCTGGCACTTTTTTTTTTTAACTGTGAAATACAATTACTACTGTTACAGCTTGATGCAGTTACCTTAATTCATGCTAAAGTGCCAACAGTCTTACCCTTACAATTAAAAAAAAAAAAAGTATTAGTAGTATTACTAGGAAAAAATAGTTTTGGCCTTGTGGACTCTGTAAAGATCTCACGGAGGAGCCTATGGACCACTTTGAGAACCGCTGTCTTAGTGTATTATAATTGCTTCTATTACAGATGACTTTTAATTGATACAGGCTCTTTAAAAGGCTTTATAGTATAGGGGTTAAAAAAAAAACAAACATGTATTTTGGAGTCGCTTAGATCTGAGTTTGACCTCTTATTCCTTCATTTGATAATTATGGAAGTTAACCTAATCTCTCTAAGCCATTGAAATGCTTAACAGTACCTAGCATAAAGCACATGCAGAAATAAAGGGAAGCTTTTACTACTTCTACCAACTTCATCATACATTACATCCAAGTAAACCCCTGTGTTCCATGTCAAAAAAAACTTTGCTTGCAATTCCTTTTCTACCGCTGTGTATCATAATCCACATAACATCAAACTAGTTGGGAAAAGCTTCCTATTTCTCCTGCATACTTCAACCAAATTGTCACAAAATCACTAGTTTCTGACTCCATTTCTCTAGTCCTACGTTGTAAGTTAGTAAATGCTTTATATGTAGATTTTGTAACTGTTTTCCCTCAAGATTGTAAATATAACCAGAAAACCACTCTAATTCACACTATTTTGTGTCCATAATGAAAATGATTTAAGGACATAGACATTTGCTGGTAATGCAAGATTAGCTTGATTATTAAAAAGGTGAAACTTTTTTCTGTTACTATTTATTCACTGTTAGAACAAAATTTGATCATCTGTCATTTTTACTTAAAATTTAATTTACAGGAAGCTTAATGTAAATTATGTTTTAAATAATGTATTTTGGCAAACCTGGAATTTAATTTTTAAGTTTAATTCCTGTTATTACATTTTTATTAACAAAGATCATGTGGTGTTACTAATTTAGTGATGGACATACTGTCTAATATTAGGAGTAAATCATATTCTGTCTTAGTGTCCTGCTTGTTGGTGAAAACTTTAGTTGCCCAGTGTCTACTCTACTCTTAATACTTGTTTTTATTTTATGGTATGTCTTTGTAGTTCCTCAAAGTAGTTATTATATAAATTTATTTAGTTTTGTAGCTGTGTCCTGAAAGATCCACATTAAGCGGTCTCTGGTTATATTAAAATGGTCCTATCCTGTTGCTACCTGTCCTGCTTCTTCACGCTGGTCCTCTTTAGCCACTCAGCTGTTTCTGGTCCTGAAAAATAGGCAAAATAATAGTCTTAAAGTTTTAAAATAATTGTTACATCACCCCTGGTTCTTTGGATATGAAACCCAAATGTTTTCTGACTCTCTTTAGAATACTGGCTTTAAGGATACTACCGTAAGTACTTTTCAGTAGTATTTATACTGGAAGTTATATCTGAAAGCTTTAGGATGAAGGAGCTGATTTTTATGTAGTTCTGTTTTAGGGAACAGAAACCCAACTCAAATTAATTTAAGTTTAATGGGGGAATCTAGCTCTCAACCAGGTAAGCCCAGGGCAGCAGCTGGTATTAATTATGGTAAGAGGGCTAGTGAAATTCTAGGGAGGGTTCTGATTGGCTAGGCTTGGACTGCAGTCTTAATACCTGAACTAATCATTGTGGGCAAGGGAATATGTTTCCGTGATTGGTCAGAGCAAGATCATGTGCCACATATTTAGTTGTGTGTATTATAGATGAGTAAGGGGTGTTGGCACCTCCTCTTAAGCCACAGGTTTGCCACAAGAATGAGGGGGTCTGTTACAGTCAGAAAAAAAGGAAGAAAAAGTCTGTTGCGGACGATACAGTACTTCCATCCAGTATATAGATGGTTGGTTCCTTATTTCACCTTTGAATAGTATGTGGAGCTGTTAATTGTATTAATATAATATATTACAGTATATCTGCAGAATTGGTTTCCTTATCAGCTTACACCAAAGTGGTTGTTCATATTTTTCCTCTTAATGTCTTAAATAATTTTTCCCATTTCCCTTGTGTTCTCCAGCTTTAAAACAATGACAGTACAGGTTGAGCATGCCAAATTTGAAAGTCCAAAATGTTTCAAAGTCCAAAACTTTTTGAGCTCTGGCATGATACTCAAAGGAAATGCTCATTGGTTTATATCAAATTTTGGATTAGGGATGTTCAATCGGTAGATACAATGCAAATATTCTAAAATCTGAAAAAAAAAATCCCAAATCTGAAACACTTCTGATCTTAAGCATTTCAACTGAGGAATACTCAACCTGTATTATCTTTAAGTGCTGGAAGCCTTAATTAGGACTAATAAAGCAAGTGAAAAATATGATCAACATTATTGGTCACTAGGGAAACGCTGATCAAAACCATAATGAAATACCACTTCCTCCCCACTAGGATGGTAATATATAAAAAGATAGAGAATAGCAAGTGTTGGTGAGGATGTGGGAAAAGTGGAACCCTTATACATGGCTGATGGGAATGTAAACTGGTACAGCTGTTTTGATATGGAGCTTGGCAATTTTTCATAAAGTTAAACACTTGACATGTGACCTAGCAGTTCTACTCCTAAAAATAAACTCGGGAAAATTGAAGACATATGTCTGCACAAAAACTTGTACACGAACTGTCATAGCAGCATTATCCATAATAGGAAACAACCCAAATGTTCGATAATTGGTGAATGGATAAACAAAGTATGGTATATCCATGCAATGGAGTACTATTCTGCAAATAAAAAGAAATGAAGTATAATAGTGCCACCTTATCTGCGGTTTCTGGTTCCTATGGTCAACTGTGGTTGGAAAAATAGGTGAGTACTATACAAGAAGATATTTTGAGAGAGAGAGAGAGACCACATTCACATGACTTCTATTACAGTCTATTGTTGTAATTGTTCTATTTTGTTATTGTTGTTAATCTCTTACTGTGCCTAATTTATAAATTAAGCTGTATTCTAAGCCTTTATGTATGCATGGGAAAAAACAGTATATACGAGGGGGACTCCAAAAAACCAGGAATTAATTAAAAATTGTGTATTTATTCTCACATATTTAAACTTCAGGCACCTTCAAAGTACTCTTTGTTTGATGCAGTACACCTATAAAGACACTTTTCCCACAGTTTTTGAGCTTGTCCATTTTGATGCCTTTTAGTGTTTCTGCCATTTTTTTATTTTGCCTCTTCCACATTGGCAGAAGTTTCCCTTTGAGGACTTTTTTTCATCCAGGGAAACCAAAAAAAAAAGTCACTCTGGAGGAGACTGGGTGAATAGAGAATAAGTGAGACACAGAGGTCATGCTGTGTGGACAGGTGCACTGGGTAAATCCACCCATCATAAAATGGGTAGACATGTCGAAAGAATCTCCAAAAAAATTCACTGCAGCCTGACATAGCCTCTCACAACAATGCTAGTAATAGGCTGATGGGTTCCTAGGATATCTACCTAGTGGGGAAGCCTGTACTACAAGGGCACAACCTCCAAAAATTAATTCTGTTGTTTTTTGGGGGGCGGTCCCCCTCGTATAGAGTTGAATACTCTGCAGTTTCAGACCTTGGAATGTATGCCCTGCAGATATGGGTGACTGCTATACTAATGCACGCAACAGTATGGATGAATCTTGAAAGCATTGCTGTCTGAAAGAAGCTAGTCACAAAAGAACACATATTCTGTAATTCCATTTAGTTGTGAAAGGATATTGTAAAAAAACAGTTTTTTCTACACTATTCTAACATAGTCACCTAACCCCTAGCAACATATTAGCATACTGAAGTCACACTTATCACTCCATAGAGTTCAGGGATTTTAGGAAGCTGTATGTCCAGAGATAGACTGAAGACCAAATAAACATTTCACAGCATCACAGTATAAAAAAGTGTTCAGGATTGGCAATCTACAGAGAAAGTAAATCAGTGATTGCTAGGGGTTGAGAGAAAGGGGCAATGGAGGATGATAGCTAATGGATATGGAGCTGTTTCTTGTGATAAAAATCATCTGGAGTTACATATTGGCAGTCAATGCACAACTTTGTGAATGCACTAAACTATTAAATTGTATATGTTAAGTAGTAAACTGTTGGGTATGTGAGTTATATCTCAATAAAGCTGTTACATTAAAAACAACAAAGAAAGTTTCATTAAAAGATAGGAGTGGGAGTTGGTGACAACTTTTCATTACCTGGGGATTACTGTTGAACTCTAAGCAGTTCTTGTTTTACTGACTTCCTTTTCTACTCTCCCCTGTATTGAATTCATTTGTTCAGCAAAAAAATACAAACTCACACATATATAATATGTATTTTGAGTCAGGGTCTCAACTGCGTCTTCCAGGCTGGACTGCAGTGGCACGATCTTGGTTCACATCAGCCTCGGACCTCCTGAGCTCAGGTGATCCTTCTGCCTTTGCCTCCCGAGTAACTGGAACTATAGGTTTGCCACCACACCTGGCTAATTTTTTTATTTTTATTTTTGTAGAGACTGAGTCTCAGTATGTCCCTAAGATGGTCTCAGACTCCTGAGCTCAAGTCATCCTCCCGCCTTGATCTCCCAAAGTGCTGGGATTACAGGCATGAGCCACTGTGTTCAAGAAACAGCAAATATTTATTCAGTACCTGTGTTAGAGGTTCTGTTTTAAGCAGTAAGAATGGAGCAATGAATAATGCAGGCTGAGTTTGTCTCATGAAGTTTCCATTCTAGCTGTTTAAGAACTCTCAGATCCTTTGCTTTAAGCTGACTTGTAGAGCTATGCAACCACTATAAGCTAGGGTTGTGGTAGATTCCTTATCTTTCTTTTCTGAACTCAAAATTCAGTGAATAATATGCCTTCAGTTTAAAAGGAAAGAAAATTCTAAATGTTTTGTGTCTGATAACTCTTCCCTTAAGATTTGTGGGAAAACTTGGTTTTTAGAATGGGAAGATCTAGAATTGCATCTCATTAGCTATTTGCCACTAGGAAAGTTTAATAATACTTTTTCAGCCTCAATTTCTGCATCTGTAAGATGAAAATCCCACTGTAGTGGGTACTTATTCTGCATTATACTTTTAAGAATGCAAAGAACACACCCTTATTCAGACTATGTCAGTAGGGTGGAATGTTAGGAAAGTTAAGGGACGAGTTCTCACATTATCCCAGATGCTTCAGGTAGGATTGTCTTAGTGGTAGGAATTCATGGATCTTCAAAGTACTGCACTGCCAGCTGCTAAGTTTTATTTTTCCCTAGCCACTGACTGTCTTCACCTTTATGTAGTCTGTGTTAAATTACTGAGAGAGAAAATCTGTCTGAGCTAATATGCCCTGCCCAAGTTGAAGCAGATTGTTTTTGCTGTGGGCCTGCTTATGGATGGGCTTTCCTGAGTCAGGTGCTTTCCTCTTAACTCTCACTAGGGGTCTGCTGTGGAGTGGGGAATGTAGGGGTATCACATAAGGAGCATCCTTTGATAACTTCTTGAGGAGCGTCCCCAAAAAGAGCAGTCTTTTATGCAAGGTTATGATCATTCCATTAGTTTATGTCACTTACGTGGTTACTTTTCTGTTAACTTTCAGGGCAGGTCATTATTGTCTCATCAAGTGGCTGCCTTGTTTCTGCTAACTGCCCCTCTCCAATTCATAAATAACTAGCATAGTTCTTTTAAAAAAATAAAGTAAATTAAATCACACTCTTCTGCCTTAGGAGCTTCCCACCACAATTTAGCTTTCACACTCCTTAATGAGACCTCCAAGGCCTTGCCACATTTGGTCCCTGTTTCCCTTACCTGTCTCCCTTTAGTTACATTCATTCATCGTCTTGTAATTCTTCTAACTCTAATACATTATTGACTGTCAGAATGCCTTTTCTACTCCTTTTGGCCCTGTACCCTTCCCTTCACCTGCATTGTTATTTCTCATCCTTTCAGTCTCAGTTTTAGTGTCATTTATACACAGAGGCCATCACTGCACAAGCTCATTGAAAGTTAAACCCATGTGTTGTTTTCCTTAAGAGCACTGATGATAATTTGTGTATTTACTCAATGTTAGTTTCTCCCATCAGACTGTATGCTCCCTAAAGATTATGGACCTTCTCTATTTTGTACACCACAATAATCTTAATTCTTATCACAGAGCTTGGCATATAGTCAGCACTTAAAGTATTTGAGGGAGTTAAATGAAATTTTTTTAAAAAGAGAACAAGAATATACTCTGGTTAGATCTAGTGAATAAGTCAGAATTTTTTTTAAGGTTATTTTACTTATTTTTATTTGTATAAATTTTGAGAATACAAGTGTAGTTTTGTTACATGGACAGATTGCGTGAGGGTGAGGTCACTTTTTTTTTAGTTGGAGTCTTACCCGTCACCCAGGCTGGAGTGCAGTGGCTCTTGGCCACCCAGCATTGACCTACTGGACTCAAGCAATCTTTCTGTCCCAGCCTTCCAAGTAGCCGGAACTACAGGCACGTGCTACCATGCCTGGCTAATTTTTTGATTTATTGTAGAGATGAGGTCTCACCAAGTCATCCAGGCTGTTCTCAAGGCTGTGGGCTCAGGAAATCCCCTCACCTTGGCCTACCAGTTACAGACTTGAACCACCGCGCCTGACCTGAAGTGAGAATTTTGACCTCAAGTTTATTTTTGCCTTTTGATTGTTAGAAGCAGTGCATTGTAATTGTTAAAAATTTTTAGAAAAAAATAATCTCCATATTTTCACCACTGTTAATCTTTCAAAATAATGTTTCTTTTTTTCTTGTGTACATTTTTTTCAAACATATTTGAATTTGGGTTCCCATGAGAGCAACTAATTAGAATACAACAAAATTTCTCAACCTTGGCATTATTGGCGTTTTAGGCCAGATAATTTGTTGGGAGTGGGAGGGCCCAACCCTTGCACTATAGGATGTTTAGCAGCATCTGTGGCATCTACCTTGGGCCTCCACCCACCCCATTCCCCATTCTGACAACCAGAATAGTCTTCAAAAATTGCCAAACGTTCCCTGAGTGGCAGAATCACCTCCAGTTGACAGCCACTAGAATGCGGTTGCTTCAGTAGACTTCACAGAACATCACTGCTGTTTTCACTTTTCAACTCAGAAACCCTCGGTGGTGTCCTATTGTCTCTTAGGAGGCATTCAGAATTTCTTAATTAGCTAGGCATTTCAGACTCTCAGTTCGATTTGGTAAACGTTTGAGTGTTCACTGTATAAATGTTAGTGAAAACATAAATACAAAGTTACTTGACCAAATTAATTCTGATCTTTTTAGTTTATAACTCCCCCATCCATATAGCTTCATCTGTGACTCTCCTTCCACTTCAGGCAGGTGAGTCCACCTCACATTTAACATTCAGTTCTGCTTTTCCGTCTTTATTTTTGTGGAGTCCTTCCTGGAAACACCTTCTAGTCTTCCTGTTACCTTGCCATTTCTTATTTATACTTCCAGTTTGAATCATGCCTCCACGCCTCTGTTAAGTTTGCACTAATCATACCAATTAATATGGATCGTTTCTTTATTGACCTCTTAGAGTAATTATTTATGTACTCATATCTTGGTATTTTTTCATGCAAAACAATGTTTGACTTGTCATGTGTTTTTGTAGTGAAAAGAGTATTGCAGAAGGATATGTATGCTTGTACACCAAATTGGATGAAATGGATAAATTCCTAAAACATATGACCTATCACGACTGAATTGTGAAGAATTAAAAGTCTAAACAGACCTGTAACTAGTAACGAGATTGAATCAGTAATTCTAAAATCTCCCAACAAAGAGAAGTCCTGGGCCAGATGGCTTCACTGGTGAATTCTACCAAGTGTTTAAAGAAGAGTTGACAACAATCCTCCTC